ATATGACAGCAATTGCCTTGGAAAAGAATGACTAAAAGCTTGTTCCCTAGTAGGGTCATTTTCGTGGTGACAAGGACTGGCTGTGTGCACAGATGGCAGAGCTCACCTAAGGTGTCCTGCTGCTCTTGGAGACCAGCAGATGTTATAGAAAGGAAAGTTTCCTCATAGTAATAATGAAGATTTACACTCACCACTGAATTTGGGCACTAGCTTCCTCTTGCATTTCCCAGGCTCTGGCCCCCAGGCATCATGAGCCCATAAATCATAGAAGAGAGGAAATTAAGTCTAGCTTGGACCAAACAAGATTGTAAGCAGCCTCAGGGTAGAAAGTCTCTTGTTCTATTACAGGGATCTTCAACAAGACGTAGGAGGGATGGGTAAACCAGGGTCTCATTAGGTTGCATTAGGAAAGTGATGTTAAGACAGATGGCCCAATGATGCTGAGCCTTCTTTTTATGGTCTGCTCCATATGTTCATATTGGAAGCAGAAAGAGAGATGCAGAGAAAGGGAAGCAGAAAATCCAATATACAATATTGTTACTTGTGCCAAGGTGAAGAAGACACTGCAACCTTATTCCTCGTTTGTTTGAGCAAGGCAGGAGAGCTCCCACACAGCTAAGCTGACAAAAGTTTGGACTTTCATCAACTTTAAGAAAAAAAAAATCCTTTTTTTCTTTCCTTGTAGAAACAAAAAGAAGTATTAGTGCAGGTCATAGTACCTAATTTTGATGGAAAAATAGGTCACTTCATGTTTTTTCAAAGATATAGATTCCCTGCTGATTTTGCCACAGGAAGCCACGTTGAAGAGATGACAAAAATGTCGTGCTGTGTCAAATTGGTGGAGATTCCTGGAGTGAATGAGGCTTCTCTCAGCTGCATCTTCACAGAGAGAAACACAATCATTTTTCATGGCTCAGCTGAAGCATCCTTCCATGAAATTCCAGTCTAGCAGAGAAAGTTTGCCTGAGGTGAAGATGTACTCAGATGTTTCCCTACTGCTACAGATGAACAGAAAGACCCTTGACCCAAAGGGACAGCGGCTTCTGTGATCAACACCATTACAATCTGTACGGCGCTTCACTAGAGAAACTTAACAAAAATGAGAAAGATGAAGAAGACACCAGAAGCTCCTTCTTAGGAATCTTAGAGGACATGGTGCTGTGATGAACAAAGTAATCAAAATACATAAGCAAAAGTCTCAAAGCTTTTCCCTAGTGTATTTTAAGCTGCTGTTAGATGTTAGCTTACTGAGATGAAGGCAGGACTGATCGGAGCACTTGTGATCAGCTTTTTTGGGGGGTAGGGTGTGAATCAAGTAGTGCAGCAGTTAGTAAGATTAGCTGAAGCCAGGTAGGCCGTACCGATCTCACACAGGTCCCCTCCGTAGCTGGGAAGGCATAAGCATTTGAAAGAGTCGATGCCATCAACGCAGGTAGCTCCATTCAGACAGGGGCTTGAGTGGCACTCATCAGTGTCTGCAAGAAATCAAGGGCTTCCATTAGGGCTCTGGGCAGACAACTCCACCAACAGGAGAAGTTGTTTCCTTGCTTGTTTAGGAGGGAATATCAGTTGTTTTGGGGGAACCTGGAGTTGCTAGGGGTTTATTTTAAAAGATACTGCCACTGCTGCTGCTGGAAGAAGGAAGGCAAAAGACCCAACCCACCCTACAAGGAAGACATTGGTTTTCTGTCACTTGATGGTTGAACACCACTCTGAAGATATCCGTACAAGCTCAGCAAGATGTATCCAGTACACAGCACCCAGTGTCTTTGACAGCTGTGGTAACTCTTCCTTGTCCACTGTCTCTGCCTGATGGATCAAACATGCAAACTGGTGTCTCTGTCTCCACCTGCTATGGGTCTATGAGGAAGAATGTGGAATTCTTATAAGTAACAGAAACATCCTGAAATAGATCTCTAGCTCCTAACTGGTCTTCCTGGGGCCAGTGCTTGCTACTACTTTCTTCCTAACTATAATTCAGATGAAGTCTTGAGTCAAGAAATTTCTTCTCAGTGAAGATGAAGAATGTGTGGAGAAGAAAAGAAGTGGGTTCAAAGACGGTTCAGAGACACTCAACTTCTTCCCTTTGAGGATCTTAGGCCTAGCTATGGGTGCCTCTTCCTTGGTGAAGAATATTGGAGTGCAGTCCCATTTTCTCCAGATCTGTCCCCACTATGGTCTCTCTTGCTTGTGATGGGGCTGGAAGGGACAGTGGGGATTCTATGATTCTATGATGAAGTAGTATGTCTTTTCCAGCTGTGGATTCCCTTAGTTTCCCACCTAGAACAGCCCTTAAGATTCTTTCTGTTTTTCTGGAGGTGAAAAGAGAAGTTGGTATGGGAAGAGTTTGGCCCTCAACTCTCCAGTGCTTCTCAACTTGCTAATTAGCACAAGCCTGGGTAGCACTTCCATCCCCTGTCATCTTGGGGCAGAAGGAAGGAAGCATAGATGCTCTGAAGAAGGCCATGGGTAGCCAGTTTATATCTCTATATTGTAAAATCTAGCCTGTGCTGGAAATAAAAGCTCTTCTCCCAGTATCTCTCCAGACTGAGCCTTGATCCTACTTATTGAGCTTTGGAATCAGAAGAAAAATCATTCAGAATGGAAAGACTTCAGAGACGTTCAACTCAAGAAACAAGGAAGAAGACTAAGGAAGAAAGTAGGAACACATCCATGCAGGTTAGGTTAAATGATGACTGGTTAGATCCTCATGCGAGTTGCTTCTCTCTTTCATGCTCGGAACAAATGTAAGGCTTTAAAAGTGCTGACTAACATTCCATGCTCTTCTTATGGATGAGAGGGGTTAGTGAGGAAATATTCAAAGATGATAAACATGCTGGCTATGGAAATACCAGAGAAGAGCAGCAATTCCTCAAGGTCTGTGCTTGGGGGGTCTTCTGATTGGGGTATATTCTGTTGGACACTATCTCCCTGCAGAACCATGAACAGCTGCTCAGTGTCCCCAGACACATGAGAGCAGACGTATGTTTTACTCCGTGTGGCTGTCTAGTCACTCAGTGGCCAATGTCTGATATGTCAACTAAAAGTTGACATGTTCTGTAACATGCCTAAGTGATGGAAAAAATTCTTCCTGACCTTGGATGGTAAATTGGTTCATGCTTTGGAGCATGAAGGTTGTAATCTTTATTATAGGCTGTATTACTGCCAGCAATGCAATTATTCCTCAGATGGCTGATGAACCTCTTACACCGGTTTTGCAGTTAGTTCTTCACTGATAGAAGGAATTTTTTTTTCTCTAAATTGCCCTTCTAAATACTTGTGAATGCTTTCTGGATTTCTTTGTTCACTGCAACATGAAGAGAATTGGAGAACCTATTTCCATGATACTGATAAATACTTTCTGGAACAAAATGGGGGTCATGGGCCTAGCAGAAGTGAAGAGTTGAACTTGGCTGGCTGTTGCTTATTAGTCACTCTTGGGCTTCCTAGAAGATAGGGACCATAAAGGAAAATGAAGTATCCTGAGAGATGATTACAACTCTAGAGGCCCCTTGGGCTTCCCAACAGCAGTGGCAGCAGAAGTTCATGTTGATTCCAGTGGGCTCCAGCTGAACAAGTAAGGAAAGGCTCTCCTTTGTCCGTTAGGCTCCATGAAGTGAAAAGCATGCTGCAGAAGTGGGAACAAAGCACATACGAGAGCTAAAGCAGAACGTTTAGCAGGGAGTAACGAGTCTTCAGCCATCTTCAGCCATGTGGACTAAAACTTGACACATCCAAGATCTCTTCTGAGCTGCAGAAGACCCACTGTGAGTTGTCGTCCCTGGTCTTGGAGGAGGAGAAGGCACACATGTGCAAATTCATTGCCACAAATTTCCAGCTGGGAAATAAAACTGGAACAGAATTTCCTTTTACAGATGTTGTATATAATATGATTGCACATATTATATATGCTGTAAAAACAAATCTCTGCATATAATGTATTTGTTATATATGTCTTCATACATATACATATATATTTTTATATGATACACAGAGAAAGGGCATGTACTTGTTGGTAGTATTGGAAAAACAGAAAACAAATACAAGTGAGACACAGACGTTTGTTTTTTTTTTTTTTTTTTTCCCAGAAGTGTGCTGCAAATGGCTGGAGAGAAGATGTTTTAAGCACATGATGATCATAAATACCAAAATGCCCCTTCAGCCCATTGGGCTGTTGGGGCAGTGGCCCTATCTCCATCTGGATGTAGAATCACCTCACCAAGCTGATACCAGGAAACTCAAACATACCAGCCAGGATGGAAGAAGTGTTGCTGGTTCTGATCCTCCTGGAAAATCTAGGTCTTGGAGGTCTTTTTGAAAAGTAAGTTCTAAATGGTAAAATTGGCAGAGATGTTGTCTCTGGAAACCCTGGCAAGCTGGTTTGTGGGTGTTTCTAGGATATTGCATCAGAGCCATAGGATTTACAGGAGGTGAGAACGCCAGTAAAAAAAAAAAATCCCATCTATCATGCAATGCTTGGCTTCATAACCTTTTATATACCATAAATATGTCCATTCCACAGAGTTTAGAGCTAGATGAGGTTAGTAAATCACTGAAAAGCCTGGGGCATGCTAGGTGTGCTGGCTCTGCTCAGCAGGCAGCGAGCCCGAACTTCCACAGCACCAGCTGCCAGATACCTTGACATCCAAGGATCATTTGCTTGGGTGAACAGTCATTGAAAAAGTCAGTTCTGCTTTGAGATGCAGCTCAAGTGCTTATCAACCAACAAGAAGACAAGACTACTGCTATTATTACCCAGCGCTAACAAAGGACAAGCGATGCGGCATGGGATGCAGAACAGAGGCAGCCCTTGCTTTCAAGAGCTTCAGCTCTGAAAGGGAGACGGGGAGAAAATGCCTTGCAGTGCCAAGAAGAGGAAGCCCATTTAGAACATATTATTGACTCGCTTCTTGAGGATAATGCAAAATTAGCAGCTCTTTAGAAGACCATTCATACTGCAGTTGATATCACCCAGAATTTGCCAAAGATATTTTGAATCTATTGTCACAACAGTTGCTATTTTTTGCTACTAACAGGACCCAAGGTCTAACTTCTAGATTTTTTTTTAAATAAAACAATTAAAACAAAATATCCAATGCAACCAGGCTCTTGCATCTGGAAGATGTAAACTGTTGGCTGGAGAAAGCAAGAGGAGTTACACAGCTACAACACAAACTTTGAATTTGTTTCACCATTTTCTTCCTAAGATTTCTTTTACATTGCCAGATACATACTATATTTAGTCAGAACTATTTTTTTTTGGTGCAGCTAAACACAACATAAGTATTCTCCCAATGCTTTAAAAAACAATTCGCTGTACTAGATCATGGAAACTGGAAAGAGAAATCCTTTAGAAATGAAAGAGAAATAGATTGGTCCTGGTATTGCTCAGAAGGCAAATAGCATGCAAAAGTGAACACGCAGTGTCAGTGGTGAGAAGGAAATGCTTTTAAAATCCTTCATCCCAAGCTAAGAAGACAATACTAGAAACAGTGCTAACACTTTTTAAAACAATACAGTCTGTGCATTTCTCTCAATGGCAGCCGGTATGGAAGATGAACAAGAATACCCATTAAACAAGGTCAGCTTTGTGCTTAAAACATCTACTAAGGAGAAGCAGCCTGTGAACAGAGAGGATGCTGTCACCCAAACCCTGAACAAGTATAGTTTTCCTGAAGCTGTGAGTAACTGGTTTAGAAATATACCCTAGGATTTAAACTCCTGTTTTTGTTCTGCAGAGAGGAAAAGGTAAGACAGAAAGGGAAGGCATTTTCAGGATGTCCAACAGTCCCTGTTGTGCCCCTCACCCTTTCTTTATAGTCCAAACAGGGACTCAGAGACCAGCTGGATAATTATCTTCTAGAAACTGAGGGAAAAAAAAAATCCACGTACAAATTAAATTTGCTTTTCAGAGACTCCTGGGAAGTTTGAACTGCTGATCTGATAGCTCAAACAGTGAAGAAAAACATTGGAGCAATTGTAGGGTGACTCCTACAAGGAAAGAATAGGAGTCGGGGAAAACAGTTCTCTCACATTCTAAGTAAAATGCTAGCATTGAAGATCACATAGCCAGCTAGTGACTTACAATGAGCAATTAAGTCATTAAAATAATTAACTACAATAATTAAACCAAAGTTGCAGCAGAAGGAGCAGATATTGCTACAGCCTTAAAAAGCTATATTCATCTAGAGAACTGCAAGTTTCCAGGAGAACCTGTTGATCTGCTGGGACCTTCAATTTGTCCAACACTCTCATGGAAGGAGAGCTCAGGAAATTTGGACATCTCTGCCTCCAAAATATTATGTGTAGAAGTAAACTGACATGTATATAACACTAGTCCAGGACTGTAGGTTGCCTCTTCAGAGAAAGGTGGAGACTTCAAATCATCTGGTCAGCAACAAATGGTCTGTGCTTTTGCTTGCCTCTCAGCCAGGACTGGTACCTCCATCTCCTTCTTGAGAGCATGCTCTTCATTCCACATTAGGTGAAACATTATGAATCAGGTGAATGTTTTCTAGACTTTTTTCTTCTGGGCTGATCTCTGGACCAACACAACTGTATCCATTGGACTTCCAGAGCATGAAGAATGAGGAAAGCCCATCAAGACCTTTCCTCTTTTGGATTCTAACCTTCAGCTGTGTTGGGGTCATAGGCAGCAGACTTCAGAAACTCATTTCACCAGAGACAAGCACACATAAATAGCTGCTGTATCAGCACATTTCTTTTTTCCCCCAATCTGAGTGAAATTTTTAAGTCACTGACTGGTCAGAGTGCTCCAAACCACAGCCTTTCACTGAAGTGCCAGCACGCTTTTTTTTCAGCTAATAATTATTTGTCTTCAGATGTTACCAGAAGCAAAAAGACCCACTGAGTTGGCAAAACTCTGGATGAAGAAGCCAAGCCTATGGACAATTCTTCAAGCTTGCGGGGTTCCTGTCCTCACAGAGGAATCAAACTGCTGACTAAAGACATGTGTAGCCTTCAATTTGGTTAAATACTAAAAAATACTGGCACTCCAAGTGTTAATCTTCGGTCATCTTGTGCTTCTGGCTCTGGCTTTTAGATAGAAGTAGAGGCTACAGCAGAACAGAAAAACATCATTCCTCTTAAATCATCCCACCAAAAAGACTGCTGGATCTAACTGGAACTCTTCAATGACAGGACAAGAGGGCAACAGCTACATGCCTCCCTGCTCCTCACTCTAAGCTCCTTCTGTAAGCTGAACTAGCTTCACCCGTGCTTTAATGTTAGTCAAAATTAATTGCACTTAGTGGGCATCCATTACATCCTACAAACTCTGAGCACAGCACAAGGCACAGGTATTAGAACTGATCTTTTTGCAAGAGCTAAATTTCAAGACTGGGAAGTTTCAGGTAAAAAGGCAGCCACAACATGGGAAATAGCATTTTAGGTTCCAGCCTATGGTTCTTCCTTGTAGACTTTCCATGTTCACAATCCCCAGAGCACTGTAAAGAGTAATGACCCAAAAAAGGAAATCTGTGATTATTTTTCTTCTTTTGTCATCACTTTGCTCTAATTCTCTGGAAGAAGTTTGCCTTGTTGCAGGGGCCTTGCAAGTTCATGGTCAATACACTTTCTTGCCACCTGGATGAGCTTCCTTCAGACCCTGACCAGGACTGCATTTAACCCTATAGGGACACTGTAGTAAAGAAGCTTACCAATAAAAAGAGAACTTTTACCCTAGAATATCTTCCCTGGTGGGAGCACCAGCTATACACATGTACTCAAGCCCATCTCTAGTTTATAAAGAGTCTACAATAAAACTTCATGCAGTCGTCACTTACTTCTCCCTGTCACCTGCTAAGAAACCCCAGCTGCTACATCGTCATCTCTGTGACTTGCAAATACACAACATGTTCCAATTTCAGAACATTTTTCAAGATTCTTCACACATGAGCTGCCGAACACATGGTTTTCTTTCAAAATACTTCACAAGAATGTTGGCTAACAAGCTCTCTGAAAAATCTGGCAATCGCCTTGTGGGTAATTTATAAAAAGAAAAAGCAGTGAAATAAAACCGTACTTTGGGGCCAATGTTTTTTAAAACTTTTTTTTTTATTATTTTTTAACTGAGCCTCACTGGCTAGTTTCCTTCCTTCCCCTCAACCCTGCCTTTGCTGGCTTGTTTTTGTCTCCAGGCATGGATGTGGCAGCAGGCATGGCCGAAAAGCAGAGCCCATTAGGTGTGCAAGGAGGGCTTTTGGGTGCGTAACTCCTGCAGCACCCTGCCAAGCCCCGGATGCCGTGCCAGGCTGGACCAGTGCTGTGGGAACGACTCCGCTGACTTGCCTTCACCCACTCCTGCAGCAACTGCTGTGCAGCTGCTCAGCAGAGACAGACAGGACCTCAAATGTGTTATGAGCAGGACTGAACAAAGGTTTGTGATTGCCTGTTTTCTCAGAGGGAGAGAAGTGATGCAGAGGGAAATGCAGTGACTCATTCGAAACACTTCGGGGATGGAAATGATGGTAGAAACCAGGCTGAGCTTCACAAAGCCCTGCACTTACAGACCCTTACTGAGCCCAGAGCTACCTATGCTGGATGGTGTAAATTAACCAAAAAGAAGCAGTTCAGGAGGTAATGTGGGAAGGGGGTGGAATTATTACTTTTGCTAGAAGGAACTGAGCAAATCTCTTTGCACATACATTTTGTACCATACTTAAGCAACACGTCCTACATGAACACGTGGCCCATTGAGAACTGAGCATATGTAGGACCTTCATACAATAGCACAAGCATTGATGGTTTTGAAATGGGGCCTGTCCCCAGGAGCCAGCAAAGTGAAACCAAGCCATGGCCAGGGATGTCGTGGAACATTCTGTGTTACTGGGACTGGGCTCCTCCCTTGGCCAAGAAGCAGCCACCAGCAAGCACAACAACATCCCATCTCATTTTCTTCTCATTGCAGTATCCTAATGCCTCCACAGCACATGAGCACTGCTTGGGGGATGCTCGTCAGAAAGCTGGCAGAGTGTTTTCACCATAAATGGTTACTCAGATTTAAATATTGTATCTGTTTATACTTGCCAGCAAGGGGTTCTACCAAAGACAGAACACTAAAACACCAAAAAAGGGGCAGGGTGGGAGGAAAGGCATTTATCAGCACAGCTGACAAAACGTAGCGATGCTCTGAGCATCATCTCACACATTTAGCCCATTCTAGCTGCGGAGAGCAGTGTAAGACAGACAGAGACCACAGGGCACCCACGCTCTGTGCCAAAGGGACTGGAGCGGTTTGCTTGATGCAAATATTGCCCTCAGCACAGATGGTGCTGGGAGCAGAGATTTTTGTCCCCAGGTGGCTTGCTTTGCCTCTTACCCCTCGGCTCTGCAAAGCTGCTGATGGCCAGCCTCCCACTCCAGAGCAAGTGCTATGAAACACTTGGGGATACAAGCAGCAAGTCAACACATCACAGAAAGATAAACAAAACAGGACAGAGACTTGCAGCCCATCTTATCCAGCTTCTCAGCTGCATCCACTAGCCAGGGTGGAAGTCTCTGGTGGGTGGAGCTGTCTCTGCTCTTGTTTCCGCGTGAGAAGAAAAAAATTGTTTTTTTTCTCTAGATTATAGCAATGGCTAAGAGCAATTTCAGAGGGGGCGTGAATGCCCTAGTGCCCTCCCCAGCCATGTCACACTCAGGTGCCTGGTCCCAGCGGCTCTCAATGACCTGTCACAGAATACCCTTTTCCGAGCCCCCACCTCTGGCAGCACAGAGGGGAGAGCTCACCTAGGTCCCAGCCATCACTCAGGTACCCCTGGGGGCACAAGCAGATGATACCCCCATCATGTTCCTGGCAGGTGCCAGCTCCACCAGGCTGCTGCTCATCACAGCTGGGTTGCAGCCACGTCCACCAGGAACAGCAATTCAGAGGAGTGAACGATGCCTACTGCTATGGTGCAGTGGGGGAAGGCCAGATATGCATCTCCTGGTGCTTCCCTTGAACTGATCCTCTGCTGCTCTTCCCAGGGGCATGTAATTGCCATGGGCGGGCAGGAGGGAGGTCCAGGATGCTTCTGGGGATGTGCTTACACTGGCTGAATGATTGTATTACCTGCCCAAACACAGACTATCATTTAAGACAGAAGCTATTGAACACGACCTGTGGAAAACCCCACATGTTTATGGCTTCTCACCACAGTAATATTTTGCTCTAGCCTGCTTCTGTGTTAATGTTCACTGCTGTAGAAGCAGGAAAATGTGACAGCTTGCCTCCTCCCTCCCTTCTCCTCCATAGTGCTTTCCCTTCCATACAAGAAGAAGACACGGTACCTTCTGTAGTGGGTCCTAATGCATCTATTGCTTCTTGTGAGACTTGAGGCAGGGCAGCAGTAGCGGTGGCCAGCAGATGGGGGTTGTCTAGAACAACAGCTGTCTCTGTCTCCTGTCTTGACACCATGGGAGGGGAGGGCTCTATTTCGAGCTGAGGCTCTTCAGGGTTCCTGAAGCCCTGTGTTGGTTCAACATCTGGAGTACTGGTACTAATTACGATGTCTGGGACAGAGGTTTCCCCTGAAATGCCTGCGATTGAGTGTTTCACAGTTCCAAATGTTACGTCAGGAATTTCCTTCTCCTCTGGAGCACCAGAGGGCTCACCACTGACCAAAGATGTGGCAGCTGTTTCGACGTTAGCAGCAGGCAACACAGATGCTTCTCCACTGGTTTCATGGACTGTGGATGTTTCTATGCTAATCTCAGGAAATGCAGATGTTTCACCCCGGGCTTCTTGACTGGTGGATGTTTCTATTCTGATTTCAGGAATTGCAGAGGTTTCCCCACTTACTTCTTGAACTGTGGATGTTTCTATGCTAATTTCTGGATAGGCAGATGTTTCACCCCTGGCTTCTTGACCTGGTGGTGTTCCTATGCTAATCTCAGGGAATGCTGATGTTTCCCCACTGATTTCATGGACTGTAGAAGTTTCTATGCTAATCTCAGGAAAGGCAGATGTTTCACCCCTGGCTTCTTGATTTGTGGATGTTTCTATTCTAATCTCAGGGAATGCAGATGTTTCCCCACTGACTTCGTGGACTGTTGAAGTTTCTATGCTGATTTCAGGAAAGGCAGATGCTTCCCCACTGATTTCATGGACTGTAGAAGTATCTATGCTAATTTCAGGATAGGCAGATGTTTCACCCCGGGCTTCTTGACTTGTGGATGTTTCTATTCTAATTTCAGGAAATGCAGAACTTTCCCCACTAATTTCATGGACTGTTGAAGTTTCTATGCTAATTTCAGGAAAAGCAGATGTTTCTCCACTGATTTCATGGACTGTTGACGTTTCTATGCTGATTTCAGGGAAGGCAGATGTTTCTCCACTGGTTTCGTGGACTGTGGATGTTTCTATGCTAATTTCAGGATAGCCAGATGTTTCACCCCTGGCCTCCTGACTTGTGAATGTTTCTATTCTAATTTCAGGAAATGCAGACGTTTCCCCACTGATGTCTGGAATGGTGGATGTTTCTATTCTAATTTCAGGAAAAGCAGATGTTTCCCCACTGATTTCTTGTATTGTGGATGTTTCTGTGCTACTTTCAGGAAACGCAGAGGTTTCCCCACTTACTTCTTGGACTGTGGATGTTTCTGTGCTACTTTCAGGAAATGCAGAGGTTTCCCCACTTACTTCTTGAACTGCAGATGTTTCTATGCTAATTTCAGGATAGCCAGATGTTTCACCCCTGGCTTCTTGACTTGTGGACGTTTCTATGGTAATTTCAGGAAATGCAGATGTTTCTCCACTGATTTCTTGAATTGTTGATGTTTCTATGCTAAATTCAGGAAATGCAGATGTCTCCCCACTGATTTCATGAATTGTGGATGTTTCTACACTAGTTTCAGGAAATGCAGATGTTTCCCCACTGATTTCATGAATTGTGGATGTTTCTATACTAGTTTCAGGAAATGCAGATATTTCACCACTGCTTTCATAAGCTGTTGATGTTTCTATACCACTCTCTGGCAATGCAGATGTTTCCCCACTTAGTTCACCAGATGAAGAGGCCTCACCACTTGGCCCAAAACCGTAGGGAAATGTGACAGCTGTTTCCCCACCCAGTTCTTGTGATACTGTTGGTCTTGTCACAACTTCTACTAAATCTGAAGTGACTAAAGTGACTTCTGGAAGCCCTGAGACCTCCCCACTAATATCAGTCACTGCTGAAGATTGTCCACTTAGATCTGTGGCTCCAGAAACGTCTCCACTGATGTACGGGATCCCAGATGGCTCTCCACTGAAGTCTCCTGTCCCTGAAGGAAACCCACTAGTCTTCACAGCTCCAGACCCTTCTCCAGATAGTCCTCTGTCTCCAGAAGGAAATCCACTGATTTCTATCATCCCGGATGGCCCTTCTCCCACCTCTTGTGCAACTGATGTCTGTGTTACAACTTCCACCAAAGTGGTATCCACAAGAGAGACTGTGGGAAAGCCAGAGGTGAGTCCACTTTCCTCTCCAGAGACTAGGCCACTGGTGATGTCAACTCCAGAGACTTCTCCACTGCTGTCAATCACTCCACTTGGGTGTCCGCTCATCTCGAGCACTCCAGAAACACTCCCACCAAAGTCGACATGCCCAGAAGGCTCACCACTGATGTCGAAACTCCCAGATACCATGCCTGATGAGTCTTCACCTCCTGAAGCCAATCCACTGATTTCCAAAATCTCTTTTGCTTCTGCTTCTGTAATTGAGGGAGTTGTTGTCACTTCCTCCAAACTGGCATCTACAAAGGTAATGCCCGAGGCCTCACCGCTTCCATCGATACCAGAAATAAGGCCACTTAGGTCCACCAGGCCACTGACCTCATGTGTTCCAGATGGTTCTCCACTGACGTCCAGTCCTGAGGGCAACCCGCTGAGCTCAGGCCCTCCGGAGGGCTCCCCGCTGAGCTCGGGCACCCCAGAAGGCTCTCCGCTGAGCTCAGGCTCTCCGGAGGGCTCCCCGCTGGGCTCGGGCACCCCAGAAGGCTCCCCGCTGAGCTCAGGCTCTCCGGAGGGCTCCCCGCTGGGCTCGGGCACTCCAGAAGGCTCCCCGCTGAGCTCAGGCTCTCCGGAGGGCTCCCCGCTGAGCTCGGTCACTCCAGAAGGCTCCCCGCTGAGCTCAGGCTCTCCGGAGGGCTCTCTGCTGAGCTCGGGCACCCCAGAAGGCTCCCCGCTGAGCTCAGGCTCTCTGGAGGGCTCCCCGCTGAGCTCGGGCACTCCAGAAGGCTCCCCGCTGAGCTCAGGCTGTCCAGAGGGTTCCCCGCTGAGCTCGGGCACTCCTGAGGGAAACCCTTGGGATCCACTGGTGTTCCACTCAGTGGATGGGAACCCTGACAGATCTCCTTCACCGCTGACTCCGATGGATCCTTTTCCCTCCTCTCGCCGTTCTGGCACTGTTGTGACAACTTCCACCAATGTGGTATCCACAAGAGAGACGGTAGGAAAACCAGAGGCAAGTCCACTTTCCTCTCCAGATGACACACCACTGACTAGCTCAGTGCCAGAGATTTCTTCGCTCAATCCAGAAGGCAGCCCACTGCTTTCCACTCCAGATGGCATCCCACTAATTTCTGGTGTCCTTGAAGTAGACACTGATACATCTTCCTCTGCAGAAGGTAAGCCACTGATATCAACAATGCCAGATGGCACCCCACTCAGGTCCCCTGAGGGTAGCCCACTTTCTCCAGGTAGAAAGCCACTGGTATGCAGGTCTACCGATGGTAATCCACTTTCTCTGATCCCTGAGTGTTCTCCACTAAGTTCAAAAACTCCAGAAGTTGGTTCTCCACTTGTGTCTGGGACTCCAGATATCCACCCCGATGCTGAAGATTCACCACTGACTTGATGTTCTTCAGACTCAGTCACCTCCCCTGACACTTCGCTGATGGAAGCATCGGTACTTGTTTCCTCTGGTATTACAGTAGGTGGAGGAAAAGCAGATGGACTCACTGGAAAAGAAAGGGCAAACAAAGAGAGAGAGGAAAATTATTTACTAAATTGTTTTAAAGAAGCTATTAACAATTTCCTGGTTGACTTTTCCTCCAAACTGATACCTTTGGGATAAAAGCATGAAGTTCTTGCAGAAATCATTTAGCCCCTTCAAATTTATTAATGAACATTATACCTTAAACAACTGTAAATTATATATCTCTGGGAACCTTACAGAATATAGACAATGTCAACAGTGACACCAGTTCCTAGGTCCCAAAATCAAGCTACTGCTTCCTCTGAGATAACATGTGGAAGAGAAAAAGTTTGGTGCTGCTCTGACCACACTGCAGCTCTGTCCTCCCTGGAAGGCATGGTCTGAGATCTGCTTCTAGCCTGCCTTCCCCCTCCCAGATACACAGCAACATATTTTGTAAAGTGCTCTGGCAATGTTGTGTGTGCTTGTCTGCAGCATGGCAGGACAGCTGGTCATGTAGTTCAGTCCTAGACAAAAGTTCAATAATATACATGTGTAGCGCCTCCTGAGGTATCTGTGTGCACAGCCTCAGACTTTGCTAATATGGTGATAATTGTCTAGACTTACAGGGAGTCTCCTTCATCAAAGACACTATCCATTTATTTCGGGTGTGTCCCAACCCTACAACACCAGCCAAGTACAACCCAGCAGATGGGGAAGCTCTGACCCACCTGAGAGTAGTGACATGTCGGTTGGAAAGACCTCTGTCCCCCAGGCTGTCTGATTCTCAGGTTGAGTCGCAAACTCCGTCTCCACGGTTGCCTCCTCCCCGGAGGGTACCCCCTCCACTCCAGGGATAACTTGGGTTGCCAGCACATCTTCTTCAAAGAACGAGGTGACCCCCTCCTCCTCTGCAGGTGGCAGAGCTGGAACAAAAAGGTATTGGAGGGAGTTTCCAAAAATTCACAGTCCAAGATGCCGGTGAAGTGCTTCCCCCAAACTGGCACCCCTATGTGCCCAACCTCCCTTGTGAAATCCCTTTGCCCGAGGAGACCGGTCTACATGCCCTACAAGGGGTGGGAGGGTACCTCTGAAACAGAAGGCATGATGCCGGGACAGCGGGTCGGGAAAGCCCGTCTGGTTGTAGTGCTGGTAGACAGTTCTCACGCCAGGCGCATCCCCCCCGCAGGCGGGACGGGGGGTCACGATGGGATAGCGGAGGCTGCCATCGGCTAACCAGCCAGCATAGCATCTGTCCAGGCCCTGCTTCCAGGCAGCGTGGAGTTGGCCAACAGAGGCCAGTGTGGCATTTTGGCTCTCACAGTACTGCTGAGCTTCTGGGAAGGTGAACTGCTCTGGCTGGGTTGCAAAGAACACCTCACCTGAGGGATGGGAGAGAAAGCAGGTGTGAGTCCCTGCATCCCACCAACGCACATGCAGACGTGGAGATGTGAAGCATGTATTTGCTCCACAACCATGCCCAGAGGAAGGGGGAAAACATACCCTTGAGCCTGTCGATGTAGCAGTACACGTCGTAGGTCTCTGAGGCTGGGCGCATGCCATATGACCGCACACCTGGAGAGCTCGCTTTGTCTCCTACACAGTTACTTCGGGGATTCACAATGGGATACCTACCAAAAGAAGAAGAGAAGTGGAAACCCAAGGTCATCTGTATGTACCCTGGACTGAAGAACCTCGGTGTACTTGGGAGCAGGACATGAACACTTCACCATTAGAGGCGCTCAAAGCGCCCAGAGTGACTTGGAAACAAGTTTAATCTGCACTTACAGCTTGGGGCAATGACTACAAACTTTCCTCCACTCTTCCTGTATGTCAGCACACTGTGGAGCTCAGTGCTGCAGGATGTATGCACAGGTTAGGAAAGAGGTAGGACAGGTTGAGAAAAACAGGTCTATTGGACACTAGATATCGTGGCCTGGAGACAACCTTAGGTCAGGAAAGCTTTAGATGCTGATGAGCAGAGCAGCAGGACAGACCAGAGTAAAGCCTCAATTTCATGGCTAAATAGTAATTTTGGGAGGCGTCTTCCCCAAGTCAATATAGTTTTACCTGACTGTCTGGTCCCGCAGCCAGCCAGCATCGCACTGGTCAAAGCCAGCCTCATAGGCAGCCTGGAGCTGTTCTGGAGTGGCAATAACTGCATTGTTCTCCAGGCAGGCCTTCTGGGCTTGGACGAAGGAGAAGGCGTATCTGCTGGTGGCAGCACGGTAGTGAAACACCACACCTGGGGGAAGAGAAGTCGTGGTGAGACAGCAGATACAGGACCTCCCCTCCACCAAGATGCATGACCAGAAAGGGTCTTCCCAACAACAGTGCAAGGACCAGTGCCTGTGAAACCCACTTTGATGGAGAAGACTCATTCATTGAGCTTTGTTACCATTGAGGGTGATGTTCTGGGGATCTCATTAGCTCTCCTCTAGGATCTTAGTACCTTGACTTTCACCTTCCCTGGAGCCAGATGCACATGGGATTGCAGGGTGACCATGGCAGCTAAGCCCTTTTGAGCACGATAGCTGCACATGTGGCCCACAGCCTCCTCCTCACCTTTCCTGTCCTACTGTAATGGAGGCAATCAGCCTGTCCCTGACCCCCAACAGGCCTGCACACCTCCAGGGAGTTGGGTGCCCACTGTGATGGCAGAAGCTCAGACTGTTTTCAGCTGAATGGTTACCTCTAGGAGAAACTGATCTTCAGGCTTCATGGAGTCCTGGTGACTTACCCGTGGGGGAGATGGGCTGCTCAGGGAGGAGATCAACACCAGGGGCTGCTGTCACTCGCACGAGCTGATCTTCCACTGTGAACGTCGAGGCAGACTCTAGTCCTGGTGTGGCAGTCACCCCCAGGGCCTCTTCCACTGAGGTCACCTCTACTGTTTCAGTGGTGATGGCAGTGCCTAAGGCTATGGTGGTGACCTCTTCAGGTACAGCCCACACCTCTGTGACATCCCCCCTGGTCATGTTCTCCTCCTCTGGGGCAGCTGTCTCTACTGTGACACTGGTGGGGAAGAGATCGGGCAGGACAGAGAAGCCCTCATACAGCTCAGTGGCAGTGGGTGTGATCTCAATGGGCTCCAGGGTGGCGATGCTGCCACGGGCCTCCTCCTCTGTGGCGTTGCGTGGCAGAGGTAGCTCCACTTCGGTCTGGGTGACAGTCTGGACAGTGAAGGCACTGCCTAGCTCGCCTCCCGTCTCGTCGATGAACTGCCCTGGGACAAGAGTCTCAACGTCGTCCCCTACACCAGGAGACAAAGCAACAGTCACAGAGGACATGGTCAGTCTAGCAAGGTGTACTGTGCTTGTGCTGCCTCCAAGAAGAAGCTGGGTGTTTGCTGGCTCTGAGAGGAGCAGGGAAATCATGACGGTCTGGTAAAATAAATGGTTTTGCTTCCTCCTCAGTGGCTCCCTACAACACCCCAACACGGAGGGTACCGCAGCTGGCAAATCAAGAGAGGTCTTCCTCTGCTCTCCTCCCAGCACTCCTTCCCGGGAACACCTTGCCCATATCCAAGTCTGCACTGACCTCTAGTGCCTGCTGCAAGGAATTTAAGGTGGCCGGAGGGAAGTAGGGTTGCTTGGATAACCTCCACAGCAGGTCTGAGCCGTGGGAGAAAGACAACTGGATCCTCACACTCAGTGAGTGAAGTCTCACCAGGATCACTACCTCCTTCTGCTCTGCCCAGGCGACAACTTAAAAGCTCATCACATATAAGCGTGCTCATCACCAGGACAGACAAGGCCACGTGCTGTACCAAATACATTCAAATAACTGCTATCTTTCCCCTCCCAAAACGCTTTCCTGCTCATGTCACATCCCTTGGGTGTAGGAGAACGTGCTTTACATGCCACTGAGCAGGTCAGCCTACAGCAAGGATGGTGGTTTAAAGAGCAGCATAAAACATAACTGGGCAGGTGAGGGAGGGATGGGAGATCTTGGATATGCAGCAACACAGGTCTTGGCTGGGGAGGGAGAGATAATGAGACACTGTCAGCCCTTTCCCCTAATACTGCTTTCTTTGCTCTATTTATTTTCAATTCCATTTTCCTGCTAGCTCATTTTAGCCAGTACCTCTAAGACCTCAAAGGATTCAGAGAATTAGATAGAGATGCTCAGACAAGCACTGGCTGCACTCAGCAGTTTCAAATGCGTACCCTGAGATAACCAGACGGCTGTGGCTTGGTGGACCAGCCTTTAGCTTGGCCATGTAGCTGGATAACTCCAAGGGGCCTGGGAGGTTTTACAAGGCCTCCTGACACACTGATCATGCATGCATCCAGGCACAATAGGTCTGTATCAAAGGAGTTTCAAAACATATTTTAAAATATTGTTATTATTTTTTAAAAAATGGCAATCCTATTTGAATGTTAGCCTCTGGTTTCCCTGAATAGACCATATACCACTGTGCTTTGCCCCCTTCTTGCTGCAGGGAGAAGAGTACAATTAGAAGAAAGGGGGAGTAGCTGGGATGCTCTCCACCTCTTAGGTGCAATTTTGCCCCATTTCTGATTGCTGGAGACTGCTGCAGTCTCTGATTTATCCCAGTATGTAGACTCAGGCATGTATCTGTACATCACAGCACTATACACATGTTCAGGATCAGATCTGTTCTCTTTTTCCTTCTTTTCCATCTTCAGCATTCAAAGTCTTGTACATGAAGCACCTGAGCTCTGCTCCATGTCTCCTGGAGAGCTACCAAGCTGGAAGGTGTGGGGGGACTGAAGAGAAGAGGGCTGCATTACACCCACCTCCTCAGACCCCTCCCATACAGGGCAGGCATCTGTGCTCTTTCTGGACTCTGCTTCCTACCTGAACAGGAATGGGGGACTAAGTCCTTTGTCAAACCTGCTTTCCCCCTGGCTTTTTTTTTAAAAAAAAAAAAAAAAAAAAAAAAAAAAAAAAAAAGAGGTTAGCTCTGGCCTGGGAGCTTCTGCTTGCTGATGTGTAGAGACATATTGCTTATTCCCACAGCCCTGATGCACTCACCACTATAGCAGATGGCATCGTAGCGAGAGTGGGGGTGAGGGTACCCCGTCTGGTTGATGTACAGGTACACTGTCCGCACGCCCACCAGGTTTCCTCCGCAGTTGGGCCGTGCTCTGGAAATGGGGTAGCGGACACTGCGATCGGCCAGCCAGCCTGCGCTGCACATGTCCATGCCGTCCTTCCAGGCCAAGTACAGCTCTCCTGTGGTGGCCAAACGGGCTCCCAAACTGCGGCATTTGTCGAAAGCTTCTTGGAAGGTGAACTTCTCAGGGGCGGTGGCATAGAAGACTTTACCTGCAATCACACCATCCATTAGCACAAGAATTAGCTGTAGAATTTAATCCCGATTCCCTTTCTTTCCTCTTCCCATTCCTGAGAGTCTGGATAAGAAGGAAAGTCCTATGTATTAAAGCTGAACTGCAACCCCATGTTGGTGACTGTCTGTAGAGACCAGAAGAAAGGGAGTCTTACAGACTGAATACAGACTGGAGCAAAACATACCAAACTAGCTGGAGCCACAGGGCAAGGGGAAGATGAAGGACAGTTTCAGTTCTGTTGTGCTGAATATTTCAATGGATCCCTGTCATAAGCATGGGTGATGACCTGCTCATGGCCTCTGAATGTCACACCCTCAAATGGATGACTAGAGACATGTAGGATGGCATGGACTCTGGTGGACGTTAGATGGACTCCACCCTTTGTACTGCATTAGTCATTTGACATTAAAATTGTCCAAGGTCTAACAAAGAGACTGTAGAGAACATCTGGCCTTGCTGGGGTATGCGCTTTTTCCATCTTTAACCTGTCTTGCCTCTAGGCCCTTTGCCTCTGTTTACTGTTGTCTGGTCCAGGCATGATCAGAGCGTTGGCTGCTTCTGCATCTAGTAACAATAAAAGCCCCAAGTCACCTTGCATTTGCTCTGCATAGCAGTAAACATCGTAGGTTTCATCTGGCTCACGGACACCATAGGTCCTCACTCCTGGAAATTCATCCTTGTCGCCATAGCAGCGCTCCCGGGGCCAGTGGATGGGGTACCTGAGGGAGAGAGGGAGCGTAAGGAGGTGGGCAGCAGGACCCCGGCAGCCGCAACAAGGCTGGGAGGGAGCTGCGGAGCACTGCGCAGTGTGATGATTTATGGCTTTTCCTGGGTTATGGGGAAGGGGAAGGATAATCTGCTGTCCTGCCTTCTCTCTGATGGTGCTGAGACAGCAGGCCCTGGGAACACTGGCCAAAGTCATCAGGCCAAGGTGCCTCCCCAGTGGGGGATGCATGGCTTGGTACGGTTGAGCCACGCTTGTGCATTTTGGCATAGCATCTGTTCTGTTCAGGGAGGATGAAGGATCAGGATTAAGCCATTGTCCACTCGGCTGTCACCACCAGCTGAGGACAGTGGTCACTCTGCATTCCTACTATAGATTCTCTCCTGGCAGAGAATGCCTTGCAATCCACCACCTCCCTCTGCACACCAGCAATTAAAACAGCTGCAACAGTTTCTCAACTGTTTTCAGCCAGTGGCTTCATTACAGAAGCCCTTTCCTAATGACCCTGCTGTGGCTTCCCTTTCCCCTCCACCATTCATTACCTGACAGTCTGATCAGCCAGCCAGCCAGCATCACACTGCTCGTACCCATCCTCGTAGGCAGCTTGCAGCTGCTCGGGAGTAGCAATGACAGCACTGTTCTGGATACAGGCCTGCTTTGCTTTCTCGAAGTTCAAGGTGTACCTTGTGGAGATTGCTCTGTAGTGGAATACGATGCCTGCAAAGCACAATAGCCATCACTCACACATCTGCTAAAGAGCAACCATCCCCTTTCCTTCCAAAGAAGCTAAGGTTTCAAAGAACAGATACTACGTGTCAACTAGAAACTATGAACTATTTCTGCTGACTATCTGTACTTGAGCATCTCAAGCCAAGGGTGAATTGCTGGGCTTCTTTCACAGGACCTTGCAGAGCACATCGGTGACCTAGGACAGCAACTGCTCTCCCATGGTGCTGTAGCAAAGTCATGGTGTGTTAAAAGCCGGTACTTGAATAACAGTGTGGACAGTGGGAGGAAAACCATCACCCAGAACACAGAGCTATATCACTGTCAGAAGGACTCAATACTTTCCTGATACAGCTCTGTGCAGTGTTTTAAATGCATGGTTCAGAAATTAGCCACTGAGGCAGAGCAGGGACCGTACCGCTGTGCAGGTTTGAAAGCTGCCACTTCCCAATGTCCTGCTCAGGACCAAGGGTTCAGAGTGTCAATCACTGTACAAACACCCAGGAAACAATAAGAAGAGGCAAATATACTTAAAATCTCCAGATCTGCTGCTGCAAACATATCTAAGTCATATTTTTTTTGATGAACAGGGATCTTTATAAAGGAGGGCTATCAGTACACTCTGGTCTGGCACGAGCAGGCTTTAACTCAAGTGGAAAATTCACCAGGAGGTAGAGAGGGGGCTCCCAGCCTCCTCTGTCAGATGTGTACTCCAGTGCATGTGAGCAGCAGAGACCTGCTGGTTAACTGTTGTAGTGGAAGCTGTCTCCCTGTCCTACACTGAAAGAAAAAAACAAGATAAGGATTGTAGGAAACTTTTGTTATTTTATCCACCTATTACTAGGATGAGCTTTGCAAGATGATGGGGAAAGTTTTTCCAGAACAGACCAATTCTCCACCTGAGGGCATCCCATCTCCTAAAATGTTTGGAAGAAATAAAAGGTCTTATGATGGCCCTGTTCCAGCTTCTCTCCTTTGAGCAATAGCCCAGCATATCCAGTACCACCTCTTGCCAAGGATGTCGTCTTGCTGTCTCTGCAACTCACCTTCTGCCAGAAGAGTCATTTTATTGCCATATATTCTGCCATGAGTCATTTTATTGGTTTGTTTAGTCTGGTCCTAGCCTGCTAAAATAAATGCTTGGCCCATGGCTTCTGCTCACCTGCCCATGGCCTTATCTGTGACCTGACCGAAAGGGTTTACGCCTGTGAGGAGAGCAGTGCCTCCTCTGATCATATATTTTTCCTCCCTTCTCCCCAGGCCAGGCAGGAAGATCTTGAGGGGAAAGAGCAAGGGCAGGATCTCACCTTTCACTAGGACCTCTATTGTGTCTTGTCTGTCCTCAATCCCATACATCACTTCACAGCGATAAATCCCAGTGTGGTTGGATCTCAGTGCCTTGATTTCCAAGGTGGCATCAGTGGGGATGGCGGGGTAGTTGGGCAAAGAGATTGCCTCCCTGTACTCGGTGTTGAGCCGGATTTTCCCACCGGTGGCCACTAGCAAGACAACTTCAGTCCCATTTGAGAGTTTGCTCCATTTGATCCGTGGGGTCAGCAGAGCACTGGTGTCCTGTTCCTCTGGGATGTTGAAGTAACAGGGGATGTTCAGGGAGCTTCCCAGGACAACACGCAGGGGAGACTGCTCAGGTATCTTCACTTCCAGGCCATCACTACTGTCTGCCAATTCCCAGATAAAGCAATGGTTACATCAATGACACATTTAGTCCAAAACATCCAGTGCTTCCATATGCTCCAATGCCTATATCTGCTTTGTAAACCTGTACCCACATATTCAGACATACCCTTTTTGGTCTAGTCTGCTGAAAATAACTTGCAAAAGGGAAGTTACAATCATTTTGCGCCATGGTTACTTTTGGGATTTGGACCAGTGCTGGATGTGGGAATGAAGGCACTGGAGGGCTCTACTGCAGTGTAGCTGCTGCCCATGGTATGAGATCATACCTGATAGGGTTTAAGAAAGGGGAATGCTGCAGTTCCCTTGGTTTCCCCATAAAACTGCCTTTGCCTGGAGCTATCTCCCTGGCTCCCCAAGCACAAGAACAGTGACAGGCTATGGCACAGCAGCCATCCAAAAAGAAGAGCCCTGTGGGTACACAGAGCAGATCTTGGGTACACTTATTTCTGGCAGCTGCCCACGCTTGGGGGTGGGACCAGAGTGCAGCACATCGCCCAGCCCCACTTTTCCACATGCCGGGGCACGTACCTGAGAGCTCCACAGAGACGGCTGTGGTGATGACTCGCAAACACACAAACACTAATAGTAAAGTGGTCATAGTTTACCTGCAAGAAACAACACAGGGAGAAAGGATTTATGACAGCTGTATGTTCACAGGGAGATGAGTGCTGCAGATGCTGCTGCAGGGCAGTGCAATGCTTTCAGCCGCCCCTTAAGCCTCCTACATGTGGCTGGCAGTGAAAGCTGGTCCTTGGGGAAAGACGCTGTCTCAAAGTGCCTCTTGCTTCAGGAAATGAGTCCATGAGACAAATAAATAAGGTGCTCTGCTATGTACAACAGACTGAAGTGTTATTATATATCACTTCTTATTTTGCTCTCCCATTCTCTCTTGTGATTCAATCTTCCCTGTGGAGCAGAAAGACAATTTTCCAACATATCTTCACACTTATTAGGTATTTGCTCAAGAGGGACCATCACGTCCACTAAATCTTTCCCTCAGAACAGGATCTGCCCCTCACCAGCATCCTCCATCCAAGCCAGCACTGGCCCTTGGGCCAGATGGATGGATGAATTTTGTTACAAAGGTTACAGCGCTTTGGTCCAATACTCTTGCATTGACAGCATACATAGCCTTAACTGCAAATGGATCCTGAACTGATACAAGAAATCCACAGAATACAATTCTGGGCATCTTAACTCCACCCTAAAAATATCCTGTTGGGATCCCTCAATTAATCAGAGCAACCTACTACTTCTGAAAACTTTAGGAAAGGAAAGGAGCATCCTCCTGACACTGAATGGCAGAAGCAATATAGGGAGGCCAACTAAATTAATCCTAACTGGATTATCATCCAATATAATATCATGGGATTTTAAATAGCCATAAATGCTCAAGTTGGTTTTAATATTTCAAATAAACCCCATGTCCTCAGGCAACATACCATTGTTTAGCATCACATTTCAGTACTGACTCAGAAGGAAGGACCACACCTGCTGAATCACTGGTGTTTCCTTTAAGGTCACCTGTCCAAATATTGGCTGTTTAACTCCTGTGATCTAGAAAGATCCCATCTGACTTCAGCTGACAGGGAAAATTCTGAGTATACGCGTATTGACCCTGCAGAAATTCCATCAGATATCCTCACTGGCGCAAGAAAAGGCCAAAAATAAACCTCATCCTGTACAGTCCAGCATTAGTCTTTCAGTTATGAAAAAGTAGACCTCCATGCACTCGTTCATTTCAACCTGACACACCACAAAATCTCATCTTTGTGAAACCTTTAGTTAATAGAGACAGCTGTGCTGGCAGAAAATGGGACAGAACAGGGCTGGAACACATTGGCAGAGAAGCACAGAGGCTTGAGTTTGCAGCTGTAGGGCTGAACAAGATCAAATGGACATATCTCAGTTTCTGCTGGGCCTGGGAAAAAAATTTCGGATAAGTGCCAACCTCAGGGAGAAACCATGGAGTTGTGTGTCTGTTTGGGTATCTCTCCCATTAGGAATCATATCTGCATAAACAATATATTATGAACCTCTTCTGCAGCATGACAGTTGACTTGACCATTTCCCTCTACTGATGGCCAGGACCAAGTCAACTGCCATGCTGCAGAAGCGGTCAAAGTGTTTGGCAGTCAGTACCTGGACGATGGCAGGTACGACGATGAACATGCCCATAGGATGGGCTGTGGGGGGCAGTGAAGTGCCTCCTGCTCATCACTAAGCAAGGAGAATTGGAAACACCATCTGCTACAGATAAACGGTCTGAAATCAGCTTGGCTAAACAGCCGTACCCAAGAGTCCTTAAAGAGCTGGCTGAGTAAATTGCTGGCCCACTGATGTTCATTTATAATCTGTGTTGGAGCACTGGGGCAGGTCCCGAATACTGAAGCACTGTGCCAATAGTCAGCCAAGATATACAATGATGAGCCTCATAAATACACACTAGTTTGATTGACACAAATTCTAGGCAAAATAATGGAAAATCTGATACAGACTTCAATTCATTAAGCACTGAAGAATAGGCGTAATATTAATCTTAGTTGAGGCACTTGTATATAAAACAAGTGCTTCCAAACTTGATTTTATTAGTTGGCATGATTCTAAGTTTGTCTGATAAAGCTGCCTGCACGGTGCTAACATAATGTAATTAGATTTTTATAAGATTTGACTTTCACAGGGTTCCATGATATGAAGATATGTAATATCAGCAGTACATAGATTAAAATGGCTTAGCAGAAGCCTAGCTGGCAGGTCTCTAAAAGGAGCCATCTGAGGGACACTGATGTTGGAGGAGGTATTTCTAATGGGCATCTACAGGGGTCAGTATTAGACACAATGTGTTTCCAAATAGACTATATTCTAATAGAATCAAATATAAAATTATACAAGGGATGCAGAACATGCCTGACAATGGGATGTTGTGTCCTAGAAAGAGTCACTCAGGAGAGCTACTGCCATCATCTGACATAAAACCAAACAGGAATACCTCTCTGTGCATCAGTGGCGAGCAACGGGAATACTGTGTGCACCTCTGGGTGGGCATAAGGATATCGGAAAAGATGGTGCAGAATATATCCACTAGCAAGGATCGGAGGGCTGGAGGAAATGCCTTATGGGGAGAAACTAGGAAGTCTGAATTTAATTATTGTAACAACACCACACAAAAAAAGACTGAGAAGTTGACAACAGTGCACAAATATTGTTTGAAGCAGAAGCTGCTGATGCTAAAGGGCTCTTTGATCTAACAGAAAGTCTTCACCAGAACCAATAGCTGGCAGCCATATGCCAGGCAAACTCAAACGGGAAGCAAAGCCCACATTTTAGACAGAGAGTGATGGATCATTGGAACTGGTAGCAGGGGAGGCAATGGAGTTTCTATGCCTTGATATCTTCGAATCCAGATTTCAAGGCTTCTTTGGAAGACATGGCTTAGGCAAACACAAGTTAGTGGGCTCAATACAGAGGTAACAGGGTGAAATTTAAGAGGACTACATTCACAGGACATCAGCCCAGAACGGTCTCTTCTGACATTAAAATTCATGAATACGAATATATCACTGTTTCGATCTCTGCTCTTGTATTATTCATCTTGCCTGGCTCTAGGCAGTACAAAGAATCATGTTTATGAATATCACACACATTTTTTACCTGCCTTGTAGGATGTAAGGCAAAAAAGACATCCTATAAAATTAACCCCCTTCCCTGCTCAATCACAGCCAGCCATGCCTGAAGTCTGCACAGGTGAGGCATCCCCTGTCTCCGTGTCAGGCAGGGAGAAAGGGATTCAGGGGTAAGCTGCCAGTGGAGGAGAAGGATAAGGGCTTAACCTGTCTTTTGGGAGACATCTCCAGGTTATAGACCAGTCACTGCTAACACATGAGGCACTGCAGAAAACTTGAAGCAGACACAGTTTCTGCATTTTGGTGTATCTTTAAGCTTTGGGGGAAAACTGAAGTCCACTCTCTGAAGCATATTCTTGTTTAGTTAGAGGAATCCTAAGAAGAACAAATAACTGTGGGACTGTGCATCCAGAGCCCTCCTAGAGTAGGTCACTGCTTTCACTATGGACCAGCCTGACACTGACTGAGGACTGTCTCCCTGGAATGAACGGAGGTTGTGGCGTAGGCTCAGATTATTTCTACCTGCACCATCCCAAACCTGCCATTCCAGTGGATATCCTCCATTCTCATCCTCTGGATAAAAGGAGAAATAGGAAGGCAAAGATCATGTGAGTCCTGGGAGCAGGGGTGGGCCCTCCAGGGCAGAAGGCACTTGGTGGGGATTCAGGTAGAGGACACTCCCCTAGCTATTAGTAACTAAGTCTTTAGTCATGATACCTGCTCAAGCATTAAATAAAAGCTCTTGCTTCTCCACGCTCCTTAGATCAGGTACCTTTCAGCAGGCTCTGCATTTTGCCAGAATCCAAGTAAGCTGAACAGCCCTGAGTGTCATGTGATAAACTCAGCCAAGAGAGGCAGCCAGCTTTAGACCCGGATTGCCTACTAAAGAATAGAAACATCCTAGAACATGGAAAAGGAGATGTTTAAAAAAAATGGGAGCTGGCTGGCTGAAAAGACTTTTAGTGTCTGTGTCTACAGCAAACTGGTATTGTTCTGAGTCCCACACAGCTGTTATTTCTGTGTACACTGGCAATGGGTAGGAGGAGAGCAGGTTCATCTGTGCACCAGTTAGACATCACAGAACAAAATGGCCTAAATAGAGGAAATTCATGCTGTCCCAAAAGCTAAGACAAGCCCATGCAGTCCTAGTCTTATTCAAGCTTTATGATGATCTTTCACAAGAAAAAATAGCCTCATATGATAACAGCTGGGACCAGCAGTATCTTTGCAGTTTGGTTTAGCTATGGAGAAAAAACCCCAGCCTTCTCTTATCTGACAGAAGCCCAGCAGCAATGGATTTTCCTTGTTAGCAGAGGTTAAACAAATGACAATAACAACATTTTGGGTGTATTCTGCAAAAGTGTTGACTCCCTGCCAGTAAGAAACCCAACCTACTCCTCAGGGTGCTGTTTGCAATGTTGATCTCCATTTTTCCTTCCCCTTAAAGCACGCCAAAGACGTCCAACCCTGAGTCTGCACACAGCTCTTGTTGGGATTCACTATGCTGGGAATGCCCTTGATTAACATCCTGTTGTTACAGCAATGGTTCCATCCTGCAATACTTGCACTCCACATTGTCTCCAGTGGGATATCCAAGCACATGATAATGAGCAAGCAGCTGCTTGAAGGAGCAGTTCTGGAAGAAAGGAAGTAAAGACAGCGGTCTGTCTGAGCAGACATGGATAGCGCAGATGATGGAGACCTTGTCTGTCTAGCCAAGGGATCTGGGGAGGTTGTTCCTCTCATTCTAAAGCAACATTTAAAATAGATTATATAGCACATACATCAAAACTGATGACCCCTCTCCACTGACTGTCAGAGAAGAGGAGGGTGATTAGCTCAAGTGTGGATGTTGTCTCTACAGAGGTGTGAATTCAGATCAGATGAGCTGTGCCCAAGGAGCATGATGGTACAGTTCAGTGCATGGGAGAATTGACCTAGAGCAGTGTGTGCTTGCTGAGACAGGATCTGGCAT